TACAGCTGGATCGGCCCGATCGGCCGATCCCATCCGTAGTGGGCACCCCGTATAAGAAACACGATTCAAGAGACGGGTTGGGTGATTTTTGCGACTCACGTGGAGACGTCCAGACAGCCATGGAATACAATCTACAAGCTTACACTGAAATGTGGGGGAAGGGTGGTGTCGCTGTCTCAATAATGGGCAATTTGTAGGCAAGGTTACTGTAAGTCATTTACTTTAGTGATCTGGTATATGCCTCCAAACTTCAGTTTTTAGTATAGATCTAGGGCCCAAAGAAAAAAACCTTTTTTATAACTAGTCTAGATCAAGATTATTTTTAAAAAATATATTTTTGTTTAGTGGCTGGCTTGCAGAAGTGCCTGGCTTGCAGAAGTGCCTGCCATAGTTTAACGTGGACATTGAGCTATAGTATATTCTTCTATATTTGATCACTTCATTGAAATAGATCTAAACAGTGGTGGTTTAGGCTGTACAATACACCGATCCCAACATCAAAAGATTATTCACACAAGTCGTAAAGACCGTGGATGACCTCTTTCGTCCGATTAAATAGTGGGGAAATTAGTACAACGAGTTGTTGACTACATTCGACGCTTTCGATATGTTCATCTACTCATGCTGCACAGTCCTTGTACAGGGTGCCCTTTATACGGGGTGCCCACTACGGCTGGATCGGGCCGATCGCCCGACTCGGTTGCCTGAAACTGAAAACAAACACGGTGGTTTTTTTAGGGGACCGAGTCGGGCGATCGGCCCGATCCAGCGTGTGGGAACCCCGTATTAGGTGTGAGCAATTCGCCGAACGGACGCCATATCATGTGGGCACGTGAAGCGGAGGGAAAACTCACCAGTAACCTCGGCTGCTCACTTCTCAAATCACGGGATTGTTTACTCAAACACATTAGCGCATGTGGAGCGAGACTCTAAATTAATTAGTAGTTGTTTTTTTTAATGACTTCCTTTCTTTCATCACAGCAATACTAAGATGTCAGAGACGTAGTCTGGCATTGGTAAAGAGACTTTCCTAGCTAAAAGAGGTCGGCCTTCGAAGATTGATAGTTTCCATAGGGAGGTTGTCCGACGAGCAATAGTTCTGATGTTTGAAAGAAATGAATTTGTTACTCTCAGAAAGTTGAAAAGATGGTTGTCCGATAATCATGATATAAACATATCGAAGACCTGCTTCAGAACCGGAGTTCCTTTTGTTCGTTATAGAAAGCAGAGAAGCCAAAAAATTTCAAGTTGATAAAATTGTGGAACAGCACGGACACATTTGCCTACGGTGGCCACCCTACCACTCCCATTTCAATCCAACTGAACTCGTCTGGACGAAGATCAAAGGCACGGTTGCATCTCAAAATACAACCTTTAAATTGAACAATGTCAAACAGCTAATAGAAAATACAAAATCTCCAGTGGACAAAGTTTATTGGCGGCAGTGTGAAATGCATGTGAAACGTACGGAGGGCGAGGAGTGGGAGAAGGAAGGACTTCAGTTCATTCAACCAAGAGTAGTCATCAACCCAAGTGAAGACTATCGTCTTACTCGCTGACAGAACAAAGGTAGGTCAATGTTTAAACTAGATCTAGATCTAGATTCTAGATCTACTAACTTCTGGCCTCATTTTGTTCTTTTTTTTTTGCACGCTCCTGAATGCCCACAACTTTTCGTATTTGGATTATAGAGACTGTAAGCTCTAAGTGTGTGTGTATGTGTGTGTGTATGTGTGTGTGTGTGTGTGTGTGTGTGTGTGTGT